GCAGTTTTGGCGGCGGAGGGGGTGGGGCCGGGGGGCTCCTGTTTTCGAGAGCTCGAGCTGGCGGCCCTGCCTGTCTGTGAAAGCCGGAGCTAAACACTTCAAAGCTTCAGTTTTCCACAGGAAATGGTAGAAGTGTAACTGGAGAGTCTAAAAGCGAAATAAAACTTTGTTTTATATTCGGCGGTTTGGCCGGAGGTTGCGTGGTTGGAGCCCAAATGCAGTCTTTCTGGGCAGTTTTCGTTCATGTTGCTGCCTGTCCATTTCCTGGGGGCTGGAGATGTGAGGCGGGTGCTGCCTGGCCTCTCGGGGTACCAAACGTGTACATGCGAATGTATGCGTGTTTGTGAGTCTCTGTGTGCGCGTGAGCGTGTGCGCAGCAGTCGTGGGTGTGTTGACTGTGCCTGTGAGTGCGCGCAGGAGCGAGCAGGCGCGCGGGGCGAGAGGCTCCGGCAGAAGCCCTTCCGAAACCGACCCTCCAGCTCGCAGTCCCTTCACCTGGCTTCGATCATCGTTAGGGGAGGGGAAGGAAGGAGCAAAGCGGGGGTGGGGAGGGCGGGGTCGAGACTTCCGCGTCGATCCCCGAGACTCCTCGAAATCTCTTAGCCCGAGCCCTGCCCCCTCTGCAGCCAGTCGAGGGCTCAAACCTTAAAGATTGGGTATCTTCGATGCTCCCGCCACCCACCCACGAGAAATCCTGACCCAGATGGAACACCTGGGAGAAGACGTTGGTCTTTGTGCTTCTGTAGAAGCGGTTGGATACACCTGCAAAACCCAGGAGCTTGGACTGGACTGGATTGCTCTTTGTTTGGAACCCTAGCCCCACAAAAAGCGCAGAAGGGCTGAATTTTCTTCCCACTACGTGTACCCATCGCCCTTGTTCTCACCTTGCCCATCACAATCGTTCTTTGCTACTTACTGTTCCCCCCTTACCCCAGCCCTTATACCCAGCTGGAGCTGGAACCTCCTCTTTTCCCCTCCTTTCCTTTGGCAGTAAGGAGCAGTCCCCTTAGAAAGCTCCAGCTTGGGAATCTGGGCACCCTGCTCCACCTCTGTCTGCCATTCTTTTGAAGTTATGACCTTGCGTGACTGGCTTTCCTTTTCTGGGCCTCAGTGTCCACATCTGTAAAATAAGGGTGGAGATCTGTAAGACACCCCCAGGTCCTCTTGTAGCTCCATCTGTTTGTGTTAGTAGCCTCTCTTATTTTTTCAAGCTGGTTTTACTTTTATGATCTTGAACATCTTCTAAAGACAGTGTTTGTGTTTATCCTTTTGGGAGTAAGTATAGTTTAAGGAAGGAGAAGCCCACAACATTGGTTTTGGGCAGGGTGAGTGTGTGGTGGTTGGGGTTTGCTGCCATCACAGGGTTTCCCACACAGCTTAACTCCTGGGTTTCAGGGCCCCTTCAGCCATCTCTTAGTCTGAGATATACTCTAATTTCATTGTGACCTCTTTTTTCTGGGCTTGTTTAAGATGGCAGGTCATTTATGCAGAAGAGTTAAGGAATGAGCAATTAATTTCTTAGGTATTTGAAACATACATTAAACATCACATCTATTTCTTAAACTATTTTGCATGGCAGTCTTTCCATGATCTGCAGGGCTTATGAAAGGGCTCATGCCTTACGTAATCAGTTTTTCCCCTTTAACTCAGTAGCATCACTTATCCATTCATTTGTGAATTCATTTGTTCAGCAATATTTATTGAGCAATTCTGAATCTAAGGACTGAAGAAGTAGTGAGGTACAGAGGCAATAACAGCTAACAGGCATTCAGCATCACTCTGTATGTTGACCCATCTGATCTTCAACACTGTCTTGAAAAGGTACTGCTATTATCCCCATTATACAGAAGAGGAAACTGAGGCATGGGGAACTTAAGTATCTTGCTTAAGTGTCTTGCTCTTTAGTGACAGATGAATTCCCTGCCTTCAGGCCACCCTTCCTGCCCTTCATTACAGACATAGTTGAAGAGACCCTTCACAGCCTGACGATGTTCTTCCTGTCTCAATTTATACACCTTTTGTTCCTACCAAACTGAACTGGGCAGTACCAGATCTTACATTTTCACATCCCCTGCCAAGCCTAAGAGAGGGCCTAGTACACAGTTGGAGCTTCTTAGATGCCTGTTGAGTTGAGCAAGCTATTATATTATGCAATGATGCCCTGAAAGAAGCTATTGATTTGTGAGTTTCTTGACTCATCTTTTCAAGTCTTTTTTTCTACCTTGGTTGCCCCTTCTTGCTATCTCTGCACCTGTCCACCCTTCCAATTTGCTGTCAAAGCCTGAGGAATCATGAAACTAGTCACATGGAACTCAACTGAGAAAATGAAAGATAATTGGCTCTAAGTAAGGGCTTGGTCGCTCTCAAAACATCACAGGCAAGAGCTTAGGGTATGAGGTTTGTGGTGATTGGTTTGCTCTTGAGGGCTGGTTTTTAATGTTGATTTTTTAGTCGTTTTGAAGAGCTAGGGAACCCAGTGAGTGTTGCATTTCTCTGGGCTTTTGGAATTTGGCTTGATTGATTTTGCTAAAGCTAAATGAGGAGCGGACAGAAGTGTTTCACCATGCTGGTGTATGTGCTAGTCTTGTTACCTTAAACCACTTGTGAGCTGGCCCGGTCCCGCTCACCCTTGAAGACTGGGCTCAGGAATGATCTTTCAGGCATCTCTGTGAGGGCCTCCTTGCTGAAACCCCTCCCCCACTTCCCATACCTGGCTGGCGCCTTCACAGCCCTTTCCCTAGTCCTTGAGAATCCTGACTCGCTTTTAAGTGTTTCCCCATTGTACTGTGGCACCTTCTGTGCAAACTTGTGTCTTACTCATCTGTTTCTCCTTCCATATCTTAGCACGACAGCTAGCACTTATAGGTACTGAGTACTGTTTGTTGAGTGGATATAACTGGCCCATTAAGTCTTTGGGATTTAAAATTTGCCCATCAACATCTGCAATCACCATCTGTAAAGACTTCTGAAGTCAGACCTCTTGGATTTGAATTCCAAGGCTGCAGTTTTCTAGCTGTGTGTTCCTAGATATGTTATTTAGCCTCTCTGAGCCTGTGTCCTCAGCTGTAACATGAAAATAACAATGATAAGGACTAAATGAAATTATGTATATAAGGGTATTAGAGTCTGGTGCCTGGCACATGATAGAGGCCAAAATCCAGACATAATCGTATCTCTTATTTCTGTCTCATCCAGATTAACTAGTCCCAGTGTGGTCAGTGTGGATAGAGCCAGCAGGGTGCAGAATTTTAACTGGATCCCCCATCAAATAATTCAGAGTTCCCACTTCAGGGATTGACCCCATGGGCACAGCCCCACTGCCTAAGTTGCAAAAAGATTGTTTTGGTCAAAGGAAAGTAGCTCATTTTATTTGTTGTTGTTGTTTTTTTTTTTTTTAAAGGCATCGTTAATGAAAGGGCACCAAGGAACTCTCTGGGGTGTTAGAAATGCCCCTTATGTGAATAGGAGTGTGGGTTCAGAGGTACATGGTTTTGTCCAAATGCATTTGCCTTGTAAATTTTAGATATGTGCATTTCACTGCATTGCAAAATATA